CCTTTACTGGTCCTGAACAACGGGTTTTCAATAAAGATACCATAATACCATCTTGACCGTACATCTTACCAAAATAGCATCTAGACTTCACACGTTGTTATTATGCTTCTTTTTTCTGGAAACCTTTAGTACAGGTCAATAAAGAAATGTTTTAAAAAATCGTCGTCAGTCTTATTATAATGTAAATTCACACAATCTAGAACTCTCATTGTCCGACTGAAACATAAGGAAATTATGAACGTTATTATTTCAAAGCATTATACTTCATATACGAATGACATTTCATCGAATCTTTTGTCCATCATCGCCCAACCTAACTGTGCAAGTTTTGGTATTGAACAAATGCCCTTTCGGCATGACGTGTAGGAGACAAAATACAGTTCCAGAAACAAAGCTTTAACCACTAGACTACCGAGACGTGCGTGTAAGTGACTGTCAGCTTTTATTGTTTGTTTGGAGTTAAGCACAACGCTACACAATGGGCTATCTGTGCTCTGCCCACCACGGCTATCGAAACCCGGTTTCTAGCGTTGTAACTCCGCGGACATACCGCTGTGCCACTGGGGAGGGGGGGCAGTTTTTATTGAGTGACTGCTTTTTGTTTACTGGAACAAATGGAATGATATTTGCTATATACGAATATATTCTTATAACTTGGCATAACTTTTGTGTTTGTTTCTTGGATTTAGCGACAAAACTACACGAGGAATATCTACGCTAGCCGTCACTAATTTTTAAGCCATATACTGGAGGGAGGGTAACTAATAAATACAACCCTTTGCCAACTCGTGTAGTACTCATAATGGGATTTGACCGTCGTTCTTATACAACACGGCTTCAAAATGCAAAATTTTTGTTTGGACGGTAACGGGACACGAACCACAGAACCTCATCTCCACTCTCCGGCGCCTGTTTAATATTCAGCCTTACTGACAAAAAAATGGAATCTAATAGGATTCTGGGATTCCAGTTCCCTTGACATATTTCTCATGAAAGCTACTGCTGATTTCGGGATGTAGCGGGAAAATTGTGAGGTTTGTCAATTTCAAATCCCGTTTATTATTTTTTAACCGTTCAAATGTGTGTGTGTTTTTTAAAGCAAAGCCACATCAAACTATCTGGTGTGTCCACCTAGGGGAATTAAACCCCTGATTTTAGCGTTATAAGTCCACAGACTGACCGCTATCCCACTCAATGTTCATCGTGATGGCTTTTTTTATTCAAGGGATTCTCTTTCATAACAATAATGTTCACGTTGTGAGTGATGAAATATCCCCGAAATGGTTTGAAATATAGGTTCGAGCCCATTCTCTCCAAAGACGATTTTTAAGTTTCCAGAGACAAATACTGTATCGTTGGCACTGTATCATTAAACAATCTCGTTGTGTGAATATCCTTCCTCGGATAGGCTGTGACGTTTTCTTCCATCTATTTGTCTGTCTCTGTCACAATGTCGAAGCCTTTGTATAAACGCATTACGTTTGTTTGACGCTGTTTGATTGGTTGGATAACAGCCAAAAAAC